AAAATCCTCAGACCAACCCCCAGGTGATATATCACAACAGGTCCCTAACACTGAAATCATCACTCAATCACACTTCTGCAACAGAATGACATCGGGTAAAATCACTTCATGAATGAGCACCCAGACTCACCCTGCCTTGGCAAAGTTACTCCAAAAGGTGATGACTTTCTTCGAGAAAATTATCTCTGCTGTTTGATTAGGTTCACTGACACTCTTGTTATACTTTGCAAAGGGATGTCCAAACACGTAAATTAGGTCACTTCCATGAAAAACTCCAGCCCATGTTGGAAACTTAGATTTGACATGATCAAAGCAGTAAAAGAAAGTATCTTTGAGTTTGTTCTTGACAAAGATATGAGCTGAACGGACAGCAGGAGCCTTAAACAATGAATCAGTTATCACATCCATGTATTTTTGACGAAACCTTACAAGAGGGTCTGTTTGGTTGACCCAGTCTGTATACTGAAAAATCACGGACTCCACCACTTTTTGGGTTTGGTTGTAGGTCCAATGCTGACCATACCTCACAAGGTTATCAAATGCGGTTTGGTTGATACCTTTATCTATATTGGGTATTCCAGGCGTTACACCTAAAAAAAGGAAAGAAAGAAAAATAACTGATAAGCTAGTTTTACACACATTATGATTGGTTCTTGCTTGTGATCTATTGAGGTAAGACCCATAAGTGAATATAAAACAAATAGGTTTCATGTTGCAGATCACATATCATGTCAAAATGTGAGCTTATAGGAGGAAATACAGGTATTTGATCATAAAACAATGTCCTTACCTTTTACTGGAAGGACAAAAAACCCGCCTTCATTACGAGTAACACCTATCATTGCTGGTACAGTTTGGTTTAACTTTCCATTGACAAGGAGGTTATATGGAAGATCTGCAAAGTATAGAGTAGAGTGACATGTATGTGTCGAAAAAAAAATAACAAAACACTTGAAATAGTAATAACAGTCATTTAGTGATAACAACAATAATGATAATAATGATACTAGAATATTGATAATGATATTGAAAAATGGTTTACAATTCTATTTTCAAATATGTGCTGCATTCATGACAAATGTTATTCTTCTGCAGAGGTCGGGCACTATATTTGAGAAGGCAATCCCACAGAGCCCTTCGGAAATTTTTAAGAGAAAAGGTTCAAGTTATTTCTTCAAGACCTTTTCCTACAGTATTGTGTAAAAGTAACACAAATGAACTTTGATGATTTTCCTGGCTTTTGGTGGTTTTTTGAGGAAATTTTGCTGCGAATGAAATTTTTGTGAACTTTCCACGAACTTCCAAGCCACCTATTGTTTTAGTATACCAAAATTACAATTGATATTTTGCTGTGGATGCTAGTGAGTTGTGAATTCAAGAGGGAAAGTTCGCTCTTCTCGAAAGTTGGGAGCGAAATTTTGAGAGAAAATGCGCTTATCTACATATTACAGCGAAGTGTAGTTCATGTATTGTTGTAATGCATTGTATGTATGTGTGGCTTTTGTGAATGTTTGAGCTAATTTTTGTCTTGACCTGAAATTACATTTAGAGGGACTTTAGCATCTAATTTCTCCTCATGATTCCCTCTGAGTCACTGAGGAATAAGGGAAATGATCACGAACTGAAGAAGCTGTTGATTGTTTCACAGATTTTCCCTACCTGCACCTTATGAAATGTACAGAAAACAGTATGGAGAATGTATATACATAGTGATTTCAAGGTTAATACAGACTGCATTGTCAAGTAGTCAACTTACCATGTAGAAAGTGGTTATCAACAACTGGCAACAGCAAAGGTTTATCTGATAAAAGATCCCCAGTGATGTTCCTCTGAGCTTTCAGGATTTCTGTTACTTTCTTTTTCAACAAGCATTTCCTTAGTTCTGACATGCTGCATCCAACATAGGCTGCAAGAGCACTGTTGAGAGACATACTCAAGTAAGATTAACAAGTCACAATTTTAACTCCGAAAAATGATTAATATGTAACCTCTCCTTTATTATATATAGGGAGTCTGCAAGTCGATTTTTGCATGGAACAGTACTCAATACGTTGAAGCAGAGCGGAATAAATATTTTAAGAGGAAAAAAGGACGCAACTACATTTTCCTGACAAGCCTGTTTTGTGAATTGCTTCACTCTTCAGGGGTTTAATGAAAGAATATTCATGTGACTATCGTGTATATACAAGGAAAATTTACATAATATGCAGTAAACTTAAAAACTTTAGAGTTCAGCTGTTGTGTAGAAATGCTTTGTTTCTGTGTCGGCATGAAGATACGAGTTCGTTACGCTTATTTAGTGATAAGACGTCAGGTCGGTAAAAAAAAAAATATATATATATATATTTTTTAACCTAACAACAAATTCTTGTAATTTATTTGAAAGGAAATGTGTAGCTGCTAAAAAGGAAAATTAACAATCAGATATTGGGAGTTAAAGGGACCTAAAGTTAAATTTCATCACTGTTAAAACTGAGGAGTGCAGGGGAGAGGGGGGGATGCTCTATAGTGCTAGGTCCTAGATAGGTCAAATGTCTCACAACTGCTGAGGTATGCTTTTCTAACTGACAGTAGCATTGCCTGCGGTGACATCACATGATGCATGCAATCACTGTCCCCGCCATTGGTGATGCATTTAGCAGTTGAGTAACAGTGGCTAAAGGCAGGTGTCAGGAGCCTTTGAGTTAGCTTCAAACTGAGGCTAAGGTAATGAAACCTCACACAGAAAAGTCCAGGTCAGGGTTTGAGTGACTGGAGTGAATCATCTCATCTCAGAAAATCAACTGACGTTGTTTATGAAACTACAGAGCCCTTTTCTCCAATAGGGAGGGTAATGAACAATGATGATGATAATAATGTTGATATCTGCCAGATCATATATCTTGAGCAAACACTGATCATATTGAAATAGGAGAATTTCACAGGCATGAATCTCAGTTCCAGACTTCTTGTTCAGTGACCATTACAGTCAATTTTACAGTTGTGTGCCAAGCCTTTGAACAGGAGTGACACTAAGGGTGACCTAATGTCAGTTATGATACAAACCTTGGTGCTTTTCAAATGTAAATTACTCTGTTGTCAAATATTGCTAATTTAGATTTTGCTCTTTATCACAACATGATCAACTTCAGCCTCACTCCAAATCAAAGGCCCGGCAAATAAATACACAACTGTAAAATGGCCTTATTTAAACTTAAGGTGAAAAACAGGTAGGAATTAATTTCCAACAAAAACATTCTAATTAATCTAAATATGCAAGTTGTTAATGCACACACAAAACCACCATGTGCATAGTTCACATTTAAAACACAAAGAGCTCTGTTGCCCTCATAGATTATTGCAAAAAAAAGGTTTTAATCAAGAATGCCTTTAATGTGGCTCTCTTATTTTGAAACAGATTGCTAAGAGATGGAAAAAAAGAGGAGTGAAAGTTAAATCCAATGCACTAGTGATGACAGAATTTTCAAAACTTTTCAAAATATGGTCAATGTGTCCTACATTGTAATTTCATGTATCATTTGAATTGCAGTGATAAAAAATTTATGGTCTCTAAATGAAACTTGTGTTTAAAGATACACAAACCATGGACAAGCAAATCTCGTGATGCTTTTAGATTCTGGTTACCACAATAATCATTACACATCAAAATAAATTTTTAATAAGTTTGCTCACCTGGCTAACTCTTTGGCTGTCTTTTTTTCATTTGCCCCAAATGTGGCTGCTGCACTTCCACTTTGAATAATAACTTTGTGGTAGAGCCCATAGCTGAGGGGTGATAACATGTGTAAGGCAACACTTGCTGCTCCTGCAGAATGACCAAAGATTGTTACATTCTTTGGATTTCCTCCAAACCTGTGGAAGAATTAACAAAATATAAAGTACTTGTGATTGATATCTAATTGAATTTGAAAGATTTGGGAGCAAACATGTAAATGTGGAGTTTAACTTGCTTTATTGCTAGGGATAAACTTGCAAAGCTGGTAGGAATCAAAACCTCCCCTAAACCAATGATATGTTTCTTTATCTAAAGTCACAAGAGTAGGACAAGGTTAAAGTCATTAGTCCCCTTAAGAAATTGAACCCCAGACCCTCAGAAGTAACTTAAGATTTTTGCTTGGATTCATCAACGCCACATCATTTATATCATGCAAATGCAAAATAGTCATCGAAGCTGATGTTCCATTCTAGGACTAAGGTGGGGTGGGGTGGGAACATAGCTTGATGGCCTTTTACAAAATACTCCTTCACTTGTTTACAGTTGAGTACCCCAGTCTCTCTTAAACCCTTAACTACTGGATCAAATTTGTTATTCTCCTCACTGTCAATCATATAATTCGTATAATATTAGTTCAGAGAATTTAGCATATATTGGATCAACTAATTATCCTCAAATTGATATTTTTCTTTATTCTCATCACTTATCTGGTTGATTTGTATTGATATTGCAAGGAGAAATTCTGTCTTGGTCACTCATGGGAGTTTAAGGGTTAACCTTATCCTTCAAATAGGGAGTAAGTAAATGCAATAACTCACCAAGCCCCACAATTCCTTGAATTTTATTACTTATACTTTCATAAGTACCCTGCGCAAGAAACCATCTGCTCCCTTGGCTAAAATTGTAAATAAACAGGATTTCCTTCTCCCTCAATTTTCAGAATAGCATGGATACAGGAGATAGCTTATTTATAGACTTATATGGAAAATAACACTGTTGGTTCCTTTTTTTTCGCATGAACATTTAGCAGAAATAAAGGAACATGAACATGACTATGTTCATTTCTTCTTTGAAAACTTACTGGGTTCTATTATCTCCCGAAGAGAGCTTTTATTTCCCCTTCTTATTTAGAGTTGACTATCAGCATATCGGAACTTCACGTGAAAGTCTCAAGGAAGTAGGTGGGGAGAGGCAAAAAGCATGGAGAGCAGAATTTCTGCTTGTGACTAATGTTACTGGAGTGTGGCATAGGTGATATAGATAAATTCATGACGGTAATTGAGCAATTCAGATCTACACAATGCACACTTTGAAATTTCGTTACCTTTCAATGTTTTGCTGAACCCACTGCAAGGCTTTCACTTGATCTAAAAGCCCAAAGTTACCGGGGATCTCCTCTGATCCAGTGGACAAAAACCCTAGTACACCGAGACGGTAATTGAATGTAACGACTATCACTTGTCCTTCGGTAGCGAGGTATTGACCATTGTAGACATGGTATGCAGCACTTCCTACGGAAAATCCACCTCCGTAGATCCACACCATGACGGATAATTTAAGACCCTTCTCTGTCTCTTTGTCTCGCGGGATAAAGACATTTAAATTCAGACAGTCTTCTGCTGTATCTTTCTCTGTCGAGTTTACGATCGAGGAAGGGTTTTGAGGACATGCCTGCCCGAAAGAAGTTGTGTTCTTTGTATCTTTCCACGGGGTCGGCGATTGGGGAGCCTCGAATCTTCCTGCTTTTGCAAACGGTATTCCAAGATATTGTACGAGGGTCTTGTTCGTGTTCAAGACAATAGCTTCCCCGCGTACAGGACCAGAAGTTGTGTTTACGATTGTAGGAGGTGGGGCGTATTCGCTGAAGCTGGAAGCTACCGAAAGGATACTTACTGTTCCAAACAAAATTAAGACGGAATAGGCCATGGTTCTTCTGTTATAATGAAAAGCCAGCAGCGAAAAAGGCAAAAGAATAGCAATCAACGTGTACAATAACAGGACCGTGTGAACCAGACGGGAGAATGGGCTGAAAGCCGGAAGTAGCTCTCAAAATGAAAGTCTTGCTGTAGATCAGTTGATATGCCGTAAAAAAAAATTTCTATAAAGCTATTGCTTGGATGAAAACTTGCTCTTTCAACCTTGACAGGTTACTACGACGGACGAAACCTCCATAAATTACATTTTATTTAATTGATGAGGCTCACAAAGCTACCACCAAAATTCAGTCTGGGGATCTGGTAACTGCGTGCACGGCGTGCAATGAGACCAAATTCCGAAATTAAGGAATGCTTTTTTTTTTCTTCAAAGGGTTAAGTTTTCCTTTTTTCCTCTCTTCAGGGCCACAACAAATTACTGCGCAACGGGAGTGAGATTGGCAGTCTGTCATGCAGTTGTGCAGACGGTTGCGCTCGTGTCACGCAAGGACTCCCCGGCGCGTGTAAATCCACGTAAAATTCTCCCTAGCGTCCAACGTAGACCTTGTAGGGCTCGTAACGCCACGCAATCATTCCACCTCACCGGTGATTGCATGACGTACGAGCCTATTAGGAAGTTAAATTCACGTGAATAATCATGTTGAAAATTGAAATAAATGAAATCTAAGAATATTTTAATAAAATGATAATAATGTTAATAATAATAGTAATAATAATAGTAATGATAATAGTAATAATAGGAATACTACTATTAATATTAATAATAGGGGTAAATAAATGAACCCTGATCGATGAATTTCGTTTCTTCAAAACGCATAACCCACCACAGATGTAGTTAGAAAAGAACGCTTTTAACAGAGGCACGAAGTCATCCAACATGCTTTTCCGTAATTTCTTTCCTAGGCGAGATACTTGGGCCTACCCTCCCGTTACACGCATCATGTTTCGATCACAAGACTTCATTAATAATTCGTTGGAAACTACATGTCTACAGATGTCTACTCATGTCTACACGAAACTACATGTCGAGTACTAACCTCGTACCCAGACCTTTCACGACCTGTAGGTTGTACAGCTTCTGTGCAGTTCCAGTAATAGTTTCACGTAAACGGTAATATCAGTGCACGAGATTACTCAAGTCCTAGTAAATTGTGTTTTAAATCTGTATCGAGAAATTACTCATTAATCACTGATGGGAGCGGCAAAGTTAAAATTTAATTTGGTGCCAGCTGTTTCAAACTGTCTCTCTGCTCCCCTCCCATCTTCCCTTTGGTTGCATGCTGGCCTGACTTTCGCAATTTGAGGAAAAAGAGAAAAGAAAGAAAGAGAGAGGAAACAAAAGCACCACTTTTCAACGTTTCATTTATAATCAACATATTGTACTGCTCAAACAAAACACACTACAAATACCGACAGTATTTCGCAATTCCATACTAAGACAGCAATATTTTAAAAATTCATTATTTTAAAATTACCTTTAACTCATCTTAGATAGTGCATATTGATAGTACATCTTGCAAATAGCAAAGTAGAGTGATAAAAATATATTTATGAGTAGCATAGAACTGTTTTCGATTGACTGTCGTAAAAACCAAATCCAAATCAATCGCAACAGCCGGAAGGTTTGCGTCATAATTAGCCAATGAGCACTCGAAGTGATGAAAGGAAATATGGCAAAAGCGCGGGAAAAGCGGGTAACCAAGTAATCACTGGTTTTTGTTTGGCGTCTGATTGGTTTAGAGCATGGACCAATCACAGACCAAAGTAAAGCAAACCCGGAATACTTTTGAAACTCAATTGAAAACTGCTCTATCTAGAGTTCAAAATAAGTGCATTAGCTCGTCTTTAAGACATAATCAAAAAGAACAAAAAAAAAAAAAAAAACAGAACTAAGTCATTGCATGCACATTTTAAAAACCTCCGGCCATGCAAGCTAAATTTACTCCCGAAAACGAAACGATTTTTCCACGGCCTCTCAAAATATCTCAAACTACAGCATCGTAACATAGCACCTTTTAAAATTAACCCTGTAAGCCTAATAGTCAAAACACAAATTCCCGTAAGAAGTTTCCATACTTAGTCTTAGACAAACTGTTGTGAGAATTTGTCAAAAGATCAGAGCTCGGACAGGTTGTTCAAAAAGGCGATTTGCGCTAATCTAGGATTAACAGCTAAACTCAGTTTTGATCTCTCTTCTCTGAAAGCGTATGATCTGCTATAAGACTTGCGCGCGGTTCTTCTTAGTGTGAAGGAAAACTGGATGTAATGTAAAATAGGGAAAAAAACTATCTAACAAGTCATTAATCTAATCCACCCAGAATTACGTGGATCGTCTTCTGAAATACCAAGCCGCGCACGGGGACAAGTCACTAAGTTTCAGTGACAATGCAACGAGAAAACCATTGCTGATTTCTCTAAGACTTCTCATGGTAAAGATTGGTCAAGCGTCATGTAAAACTGGAGAGGATCTCCACTGTACATTAATCTTTCTGTTCTGCCAATACAAAAAGCCTACCAGAAGATATCGAAGAAAGGAATCTTTGCGCTTAGAGCGTTCGAGGACATGAAAAACTTAGGAATCTGGCACGATGTTTTTATCCCACATTTCAAACTTAATAATATTCGGAAAGATTTCCGTATAACTCCATACTCATCTGTTTTCCAAAACGCAATGTATAATAATTGTTTTCGTAAATGTTTTCTTTATCCAAGAACTGTTCGCATAATGAAAGATGGGACTGAGCGGAAATCTTGCCTAATTTTCAGGCAAAGCCATTGCCCACTATTAAAATTACAATTTAGCAAATAAAAGCATTTAAACTCATTAACACATCAATATGTTCTAGCATATAAGAGGATGATATAAAATTGACTTGTAAAATCTTGTCAGAACATCAAGCCTTAAAGCTCATCGTTTGTGTATGTTCCTGTGAAATGCTGGCTATTAACATTCCTGAAAGGAGTAAGAAATGGAATTTCCCGAGATAAATCTTCATTTTGTTTCCTCATCTGTGGAAGAGAAAAAAGTAAATAAAAAATAAATAAATAAAAAACAGTGATTCAGTGAAAAAAATATAGGAGTAAAATTATGTTACAGCCACAACATGTTGTTTATTATTATCATCGTCACTATTAATATTATCACCATTATCAACAGTGGAAGGGGGTGGGGGGTGGGGCATAACAAGACAATTCGGTTTTATCAACTTAGGTGATAATGTAAATTGGCCGCCGTAAAAAGTTTCTAACTGACGTTTCGAGCGTTAGTCCTTTGTGAGATTAAACGGCTAACCTCTAAAAACGTCAGCTTCAGGGACTCTACAGTGATCAATTTACATTATCAACTCTGTTAATCAAATAGAACTGACTCTAAACAAATTCAGACAGTCAGAAAAAAGTAATTGAATTTATAGACGAGACAACTCTTACCCTTCAACGGTTGCCACAGGAGCTTCACCTGGTTCTGTAGAGAACAGAGAACGAGAAAAGTGTAAAAAGAGAGTATAGAAAAATGAAGAGGAAGAGAGAGGGAAGGCATAGCTGAAAAGAGAAGGAAGGAAGGGAAAAAGCACAGGGAAATGTGGGAAGGAAGAGAGAAAGAGAAAGAGAAAGAGAGAAAGAGAGAAAGAGAGAAAGAGAGA